CATTCCAGAATTTCCATTTGCTGCAATCGCACCGTTTCTTCATGGAAACGAACCCATCTGAAGGAAGAATTCCAGAAATCCAGCGTGGAGTTTCTAGTCTGAACAGGATGAGGCTCCCTGGTGCCGAGGAGCTGGCACGGGTTGTTTTTCCAAGCTGTTTATCTAATAAAAACCCGGAGTGCATCATGCACTAATTAAAACTGCAGTGTATAAAAAGAAAACCCATACTGGGCTTGGCTCAGGGTGGGAAATGAAGAAAGGAATTGCTTTAAGTGGGTCCAGTGCTGGGTTTGCCAGCTCCCCTTCCCTTAATCCAGTACCAATCGCTCCGGGATGTAAAGCACACCAAGGGGGGTTTAGTTTAATATTTGAGAGGCCAATAACAGAAGGGAACCATATCGAAGAGTGAAAGGCAGCAGGTTATTTGGAGGAGAAAAATCCCTTTTTAATGGAGAGCAGCAACCACAGATAGCCTTTGAAAGCACCCGAAAGGTTCAGGGAATCTAAATGCAGCAAACCTGTGCAGACACGGGCTTTGTGTCTTCACTTCTCACCACAAAGTTCCTCCTCGAAGCCTTTGTTATTCATTGGAAACCGAAGCATCGGGAAACATTTCCTTTCCCTGTCAAAATTCGAGTTTCAAAGGAAAACTTTGGAGCAGCTCAGCTGAGAGAGAGTTGTGATTACAGGAGAGAATTACAGTGGTGCCGCTAAGCAGGCGCTATGGCGAGAGGAGCAGCCCCTCTTCACAATGCCCCCGCTCCAGGTGCAAATACCACTCGTAAAGCAAGTGAAATATTCTTGGTCTATTATGTTGTAAGGGAATGTCGAGGTTTTTAATGGCAATCAGTGGAACACGATCAGGAATTGGGTGGTGGAAGCAGCTGGAAGAGGTGAGAACCTCCCAGGCTTGGAGCTGATAAATCTCCATAAACACCATTCCAGAGCTGGGAATGGAATGGTGGGGATGGAGCATTGAGGATCCCACCTCTGGGGTGGAGACTGAGTCTTGCTGCAGCCTGCAGAGCTGGGCACTGCTGGCCCAGGGGATGGGGAGCGATGGGAATGAGCACATACAGTGCATGCACATGCAGCCAGCCCCGTGTGTCCTGACCCCCATGCAGGGAGCAGGATGGGACCCCTCCGCACTGCTGCTTTCCATAGAGAGCATGGTAAGTATCCAGCCTTGAACCAGGGCAGCAAGTCCTTGGGCAACCCAAATTGGCCTTCCCCTCAGCAGCTGGATCCCGACAGAGAGATGGATATTTGGGATGCAAAGAGGGACAGAAACCACAGCAGGTTGCCCAAAGCAGTGTTAAATGCCCCATCCCTGGCAGTGTTCAAGGCCAGGTTGGACACAGGGGCTTGGAGCAACCTGCTCTAGTGGAAGGTGTCCCTGCCCGGGGCAGGGGGTTGGAACTGGATGATCTTAAGGTCCTTTCCAACCCAAACCAGTCTATGAATCTACGATGCCACTCAGGAATGTCTTTTTTCCCTCCATTTCCCAATTCTCCAGCTCAACGTTCAGGGTGTCAGATAAAGAAAAAAAATAAAGGACTTTCTATGAAAAGACAACATTTTTTGAGGGGGAAAAACCCTCTTTAAGATGACAATCAGATTCTCTGTATAAAAAGCAGTTCCGATGGAAATATCCCATCAGTGCCAATGAAGAGGGAACAATCACTAATTTTCCTTGAAGCTAATGAGCGCCAGTGTCTATGACAGGGGAGAATTTAATCTGATGTGAGCTGTGGAAGAGAAGCAATACTGATATTAATGTGTGACTAATTGATACCCAGAAGAACATTTGAAATGATTAAAAGCCATTTGATTTCTATACAGGGCAATAAGAGGCTCATTGGCGACGACTGGAGCATCCTTTCAGTTTTCTACATATTCTCAGTGTAGCTTGACTGCTGCATCAGATCTCTGTGCCTGGAAATGTGGCACCAAGGAATTCCTCCCGGACAGCACAAGGGCTCCTACATGGTGTGAGTAAGGGTGAGAAGCCTGGCTGAGGTAAAATAGGTCCCCAAACCACTAAAAAGCAGGTTCTCAAAGCAATGGGGCTCAAGCAGCAGCCTCCAGCTGAACCCCCTGGTGATTAATATGGTGCTCTTTGTTATAATGAAAAACCCATTAAGGTCAGCGGCAGCATCTCCGAGCAGCACTAAATTGGAACGATGGAGACAGTAAAGTTAAAAATGAGCCATAATATTAATGTGGATAGTGAATTAATTGGGCAATTCCATAGGTAGTAAGTAAATCATCTCATTTACTGTGGGACTCTGGCTGCAGAGTGCTGTGGTGGCAATAATGGAGCCAGGGAAGCAATACAGAGCTTCAGCATCCTGGGGGGACAACACGGGGTCCATCCCTTTGCTTCTTCTCCATGGGTGCTGCTGGGGGGGTGTCTTTCAGTAGGGGAAATGCCTCTTGCTTTGCTCTACTAGGTGCTCCAGCCCCAAAATACATCATCCAGGGCAAGGTGTCTGCCCCCTGGTCCTGCAGATGTGATCCAAGGTGTCCGTACCCTGGTCCTGCAGATGTGGTCCAAGGTGTCCACCCCCTGGTCCTGCAGATGTGGTCCAAGGTGTCCGTACCCTGGTCCTGCAGATGTGGTCCAAGGTGTCCATCCCCTGGTCCTGCAGCCCTGGTCCAAGGTGTCTGTCCCATTTTGCTGTTGCACACAGGAAGCTTTGAGCAGGCTGGACGTAGCTTTAAGGAACGGCTGTTCCCTGGTTTGGGTGGGTCTCTCAGGAAAGGCTTCCTCACCTTGGGAGAGATGTGCAGAACCATCACACAGCCCTAGGCCACCTCCTGCTGCTGTTGTGTCTCAGACTGGGACCCACTGTGGGGACAGAGGGAGGTGATTTACACCAGGGTGATGCACTTGCACACATGCCGGCCGGGCTGCTGGCTCCCTCTTTGCTTCCAGCATCCCGGACAACAAACAGAGAGAGGGACAAATCACATCTAAAAGGAAATTGCTCATTAGCCAGCGCCTGATTAGATAGAACCATTTCTGCTTCAAACCATCCCACTTCCCATAACGTTTGCCAGATGAGAGGACACGTACCTCCTCTTATCAACTAGCCACATATGGCCTCAGCTGAAGGGAGGCTGCAGTAATTGGCCTATTCATCATTCATTGTTTATCTTAAGTTCACGTTGTCATAGGGAACTCCAGAGACATCCCTGATTTAAGTTAAGAAACTTCATCATTATGATGGAACTGCTCGGGGAGCTGGGCTGGAGACACACGTGGCCATGGAGATGCTGTGCAGCCACAGCAGCTCATTCCGAGCTGACAAAGCTTTTGGAGAGAATAGAAAGAGATAAATTCGTGGTGGCTGTTCTGATGGAGCCGCTCAGAAAGTTATTACCAGAGACACATGCTTCTCCTTGCTCACAGCCCATGAAAACCCTGCTCCTCGGAGCTCAGGGGGACATCTGCCTTATTGCTGCTGTTGTGACTCCCTCGTCAACACAAGTTATTAACAGCGCCGGGGAGTTTTATCCTAATGCTGGTTTCATCTTGATGAATAACAATTCCATGCCTCTGTTCTGCCAGATGAGTGAACAGGTTTATTTCAGACACTTAACTTCCTCAGGAATGCTTCCCCATGCACAAGGCTTAGCTCTTCTATAGATGATGCTGAGATGATGCTTCGTTTTCACCAGGCTTCAAATATCTCTAACACAAAGACCAAACCCAGAATCCTGCACTACCGTAAGTCACTTCTCCCAGTAAAGAGCTCCTTCCTACTGGGAGTGCTAAAATGTAATGCGAAGCTACATGTGTATTGGAGTCACACCAAAAAGCACTTCCTCAGGACTAGGTTAAGGGTTGTTAAGGAATAGCTCACAGCTCCTCTCAGAGAGAGGGAACCAAGGGGAGGATGAGTTGGGGAGTAAGGGGGTGTCTCCCTCTGGCCTGCAGTAACACAGAGCAGTGCAGGACAGGGGCTGTGGTTGGGTTCCATGTTCACAGCAGCAGATGGATGCTTGGGGTGATGCGGGTGCTCCACTGGCAGCAGTTATCACCAACCTGCTCAGGTAGAAGCAGGTCATTTTGTGATGTCTGTGTCTGTGGATGGGGCCAGCCTGGTTTCTCGAGGCAGTGCAGATGTGCTGCAGATGTGCGGGTCC